TAAACTAGTTTTAAAACTAGTCTGAAATGACCAAAATTGAAGCTTGTTGTGAGGGATAAAAATATTGCAAAGTATTGTTAAAGAGCACAGTTCCATTAGTTCATTACATGCGAACATGTTATTTATTCAAATATGAGCATGCATGCAAGATGAAAATGGGGTCTTGAGACCGATTTATTGGAATAATTGAGAGCTTCGTCATAACCTGGCTTTTTAAACCAACTTTGAAAAACTACCTCAATAGTGTCAGGTGCTAACATTAAAATATCCCTTATACATATATGTATATGTGGTCATGACAAAAAACAATAATTGTGACCAAACAACACAAGCCTATACTGTGTATTAAGTGTTTAGATTTCTTTCACTCTCTCTTTTGTTTTTTTTGTTTTTGTTTTTTTGTTTTAAGCGATTTTAAAAATTTGTATGGTGGATCAACGTGAGGGATGTTTCAGCATGTAACAAAATTGCAGGGGACCAAAATAAATATGATTTGAAAGTTTCCCTTTTTAAAATGTAGTGATAAATACTCATCAGCTTTTAGAGGTTCATTAAAATCATTTTCCACTGTAGCTTGTGAGTGGAAATGGAGCTGGTCTCAGATCCTCTGGTTGTATCTATGGAGAACAAATCCGAGTTCAGGCCAAGATAATTGCCAAAACATGGTGGTTGAGTTGGTGTAGTTCTTTTCTGGACCTGGACTGAGTTGAGTTCATCTGTTCTGTGGCAGTGTCATCCTCATGTCCATCACTAGCATTGTGCCATATTATGGATAACATACTGGACATAAAAACGTCCAATGACCACTGCTCTGTGTTTAATGAATGTTCGGGGAAACTGACAACATTTTCTTATGAAGCAGCTTGTCAACCCGTTTCAAATGGCAATTTAATCATCATTGAGCTTTACTGTCTTTGGAGTGCTAGCACTCTACTTGATTCTTCTACTTGATTTATATCCAGTATTGCAATAAAGATGTTTTCGCACTCATTAGATCCTGATCTGTTTGATGAAAGTTCCACGATAAGTCTGCGATAAGTTATTTGTATTTGAACGTTGTCATGTATGACTTCGGAGTGCTATTCATTGCAATTGACGTGTATTTACCTTGCTACATTTTATGAAGGGAATTCAATTTGGATCTGATGTCTCTCAGACTCTGATTGAGGATGTATAAACATCCGAATACACTGGCATTTGCGTTTCTTGAGAGAGAAATATTAAGGTACAAAAAGGTTGTATGGAAATCATTCAGATTCTTGTTTTTCATCTGAGCTTAAAAACGTCCAGCGTGTATTTGTCGTGTATGTGTGCCTTTTTAAAATCTCTCCCACCCCTGATCAAGGGACTATCCTTTTAATTTGTTACTCAGCGCCACATTGAATAATTTGTACATTTATCATGCAACCTTGAGTGAATGCTGCATAGAATGATCAGTATTTGTATTTTGCACTTTCTAAGCAGTTTTAAAGGATGCCCTGTTGTAACTGGGCACACAGACTAAGACTATTTAAGACGAGGTATTTTCTGCTACAATAGGAATTCTAAGGAACAATATGACTTGTTGGTCTTTTCAAAAATAAAGTGTATAGATGTGAAGTACCTCATAAGCCTGATAAATGCTGCATAAACTTCATTTATTGTTCTTTTGTGAACCTCATTTCAAACATTTTCCCCTATAGGGAGGTTTGATGCCCACAAGCTGTACAAGGACCTTCAGAATTATGTGATTGACCAGAGCCGCTATTTAAAAGATTACTAGTGATGCACATCAAATGCAATTTGATAGATTTTCAGTCATATTCACTGACATGATACAATATTACTGAGCCTCTAGCTTTAGCATTGCTCTGTTGATCACGACCATTATATATGTAGTGACGTCTTGCAGTCAAAAGTTACAGTTGACTCAGGTATTGCCATTAAGGGCTATATCTGCTATTGCCTCTCGTCCTCAATCCCCTCACCTGTGTCTTAATGTAGCCTTAGAACTGCATTTATGGATGGAACATAATAAAGACTACCTGGCCTTAAAAGATGCACTATTTAACCACAACATGCAAGTCACTACAAATCAGGCCATACGTTTGTGCCATAAAACTACCTCCTGAGAATGTAGGAGTATCCTGGAACTGACAGATGGCTTTTTTCTTTTTCTTTTTGGCCTCCAACTCAAACTTGTACTGTGTAAGTTGACAATCATCTTTTTCTTTTCTTTTTCCATTTTTCCCCCGAAGTAAATTACAAACAGTTGAAATTCCAGGACACTATAGTTGATTTTTTTTTTTTATTATTTGTATTATTTTTTTTTTTTTTAAACCATGTCCATGCTAGTGATGGAAAAGCCAAGTGACCAAAGTTTCAATTCGAAGGCTTTCTTGTACTGAGTTGTGGTGTCAAACCTCCCTCTCACATCAGCAATTTATCTTTCATTTAACCTTGTGTTTGCTCCTTTATATCATGCCAAATTAAATTTGCTGTCATTCCTGTCATGAAGTCTTTAATTTCTGATTCATGTTTGCATTCACTGCTAAGCTCCTTGTTGTTGTTTCTTGATAATGTAAAGTGTGAGCTTTTTTTTTTTTTTTTAACTTATAAAATTACAAACCAAGATATGCT